GGGGGGGGGGGGGGGGGGGGGGGGGGGCGCAGCCGGACGCTCGACTTTCCTTTTGTTTTTCTTGTTTTTTTCGGACACTTGCACGGCGTCTTTGGCGAGGGTGTTGACGCGTGGTGCGAACAGTGGTCGGAGCCAGGGGGGGAGCACATGTGCATATGCGCCCATCGCATCCAATCGGCGGCTTGGGCTGGTTGGAATGTCCACGGAAAAGGCGCGGCGATCGAAAGGCAGCTGGGAGTGCAGTAGGCTGGAAGCGGCAATGAACGTGCACGAAAAAAAGAATTGACCGGGTCGAGACAAAAAGGCAATGCATCCGCTGCATGGAGCCGTCACCAGCTAGCCGGCCATGCAGCCGTGAGCGTGGCCGATTCTTTCGCTTTGGCACGAGTGGCACCCCCTCTGCTCCGAAGGCGCCATGCATGGGTCGGCGCGCCCCTCTTGGCAGCCCAGCCCAGCCCAGCCCAGCCGCTGTCAGCTTACTGCTGTCAAAGGCATCCCACCGCTGCGGCCATTCCAATTCCAATTGCACTTGCAATTCCAATTCCAATTTCTTTTTCTTTTTCTTTCTGTTTTTTCCGCATGGCTGCATGGCTGGAGGCCACGCCTGGGCCGTGTGGGCGGAGTGCCGCGTGCGCGGGCGCTGCACGATGCAACGCACCACGCCTGTCGGCTGCTGGTCCGCTCCGCTTCCACACGGCTCCTCCGCCGACGGACCGACTAAATGCGAGGCGCGCCTCAGTCCTGCAAAAGCGTCGCCCAAAAACGGCCCAAAGGCCCAACGGCCTCCCCATGCCATCGGCTCCCACTTTGCTCTCGCTCCTGGCTCAGCCACGCACGACTCTCATCCGACGATCCTTCCCCTTTCCTTCTCCCCCCTCATCATCATCTCGTCGGACACAGAGGCACAAGCATCCGCTCACAACCATCCAAGCCTCGCCCTTCCATCCCAAACTCACACGCCCACTCCATTCTCAACCCTCGACACTCGGTGCCTGGGAATCCTGCATCCATCGTCGCCCATCTTCATCAATCCGCTTCGTGGCGCTACTCGCCTCGGTGCATCCTCCCAACAGGCCTCCAGAGCCGCATTTCATTCGACCGACGCAACGCTCGTGGGAGCTGGAGCTTCAACTCGACCTCGCTTCTCCCCACGTCGGGTCCATCCCAATTCACCGGTAATCGCCGACTCTCCTTCTCTTTCTCTTTCTCTCTCTCTCTCTCTCTCATATCGCAAGCTGAACGCGATTTAAGGCCGCATACCCCCCATTTGTTGTCGTCGTCGCTCGCGCCCGCCATCCTTTCGGCCCCGCGNTCTCTCTCTCTCTCTCTCATATCGCAAGCTGAACGCGATTTAAGGCCGCATACCCCCCATTTGTTGTCGTCGTCGCTCGCGCCCGCCATCCTTTCGGCCCCGCGTATCATGATGGCCTCCAACCACTACCCCAGTTCGCGTCAGCACTCGCACCTCCCGCCCCACCTCAACCACCTCCCGCCCCTCGAGCCATCGGCAGAACGTCACCATGGATACCACTACAACCCCGCACGCAGGGGCTCCACAGACCCCATCCTCCACGCTTCCCTCGCCGCTTCGGCAAGCGCAAACGCCGGTTTCGCTCACCCGCACGCCCACGGCGCAGGCTCCAGCTCCTCCTTAGCCAGCCCCAGCCTCTTTGACGCGCCCCGACGTCGCAGCATCCAGATCGAGCCCACCGTTCCCTCGGGCCACGCAAGCCCCTTCGCAAGCCCAGGCCACTCGGCACTCCACTCGTCGCGCTTCATGAGCCAGAACAACAGCCCAACGCCGCTCGTCCACTCGCACGGCGCCCCTGCCGCTGCTGGCGCCGACGACCACCACCACGCCGCCTCGTCCAGCGCCAACTCGAATCTGCCACCGCACCACGCCTCGCACGACTCGTCCGACGCGCCGCGCCACGGTCAGATCCAGTCCAACTACCAGTTTGGCAGCTACCCGCCGCCGCCCAATCCGGACTACCGCATGGAGGACAAGCAGGCGCATCCGCGCATACCGCATCTCAGCGCTCCGGACGGTGAGGGTGGTGGTGCGATGATCGAGGGTGGCGGATTGCTGTCCGAATCGCGCCGTGGCTCGGCGTCGAGTCTGGGTGCAAACAAGCATCTGCTGGTGGACAAGGACGCGAAACCGTACTCGCGCTCGCCCGAGCTGCGCGTGAGCCACAAGCTCGCCGAGCGCAAGCGCAGGAAGGAGATGAAGGAGCTGTTCGATGATCTGCGCGACCAGCTGCCCGTGGACAAGGGCCCCAAGACGTCCAAGTGGGAGATACTCAGCAAGGCGGTCGAACACATCGCCCAGCTCGGACAGGACAGGGACGATCTGGAGGCCGAGAACGAGAGACTGCGTGCCCAGCTCGCGCATGCAAGGGGCGCTGCGCCCACCGAAGTGAGGGCCACCCTCAACGGTCACCGTCCAGAGTACGACCATGCCCCAAGGTAGCCGCGCCCAAGCACACTCATTTGTCTAGCAGCATCCTTACCGCATCCCTAATACAAGCGCAGTTTGGCGGTATCCAAGCCAGTGCACGGTGTGAGCGCAGCAGCGTACGGGCCCGATGGGGAGCTTGCGATCGTGCGATGTGAGCGTTGCCGTCCAGAGTACGACCATGTGCCGAGATCACCCAGCCACCTAGTGGTTTCTTTTTTATCGAGTGTTGTCGTTATCGCATGCTGATGCATGCAAAGTTTGTCGGTATCCAAGTGGGTGCACAGTGCGAGCGCATGAGCAGTCGGTCGATGTCCAAGGTATGCGCCGCGATAGGTCCCAAGCACCCGCTTTTATCTCACAGCATCCTTACCGCATGCTGATACGTGCAGAGTTTGGCGATACTCGAGGCAGTGCGGCAGTACGCATGAGCAGTAGCCCATCGCACATCGACTCTGCAGCACGAGCTATGTCGGGCGATTCTCTAGACGGTGAACAGCGCAAAGGCATGAGTTGTCGCCCAAACAGACACGTTCGAGAGCATGCCTAGTTGGCAAGATCGAATATCCAATGCACAGCCTCAAGGCATCTGCAGTCGGCGACCCTAGCCGCGATAGCATTGCGCCCGTTGCGTAGGTTTCGCGAAGCAACGCCGTATCCAATTCGGCTGCTCAACTGCCTTGCCTCAGCACAGTCCCCAAGATCACCATCATCGCTTCGTTGGCGGTATTCAATGCACAGTGTCAAGGCAGAGTCGAGCTCAAAAAGGTAGCCTGTGACCTGGTGCGATGAGGATGTTGTGCTCGGCGACAACACTCTCATTACCTCGCTCCATTCTCGGCTCGACAGCACACATGCCATGTCGGTGCGATCAAGTTGATAGACAACGTCAAGGGAACCAGCGGCCAATCGTGCACGCCAGCTCAAAAGGCAACCTCTACGACCATGATGCGCTACCACAGCCGTGCGCTCCAGCATCGTTTTGGCCGTTTTCGCTGTTATCGACTAAAACAAGCCGAGTTGTCGCATTGCCACGTATGTCAGAGCATCAGCAGGCGACAACAAGAGCCGCCTGGACGGACAGCCTACGACGAGCATACAGCCGCAACCACCGAGTCGGATCGAGCATGCCGAGCTTTCATCGTGTCGCCCCTTACCGTCTCGACAATACAAGCAGGTGTCGTCAAGTGCACCCATCGCAGCGATATTTCGCCGCCAGCTGCTTTTATTGTGCCAGTCAGCGTGCCGCAAGATCCTGGGCGGAGCAAAGAGGAGGTTGCAATGTGTTGGTCAACACGCCGCAACCAGCGTCAATCGATGGTAACTCGAGTCGAATGCTAGCCATCGTCGATGCCTCGAGTGGTCTCGGAAGCATACGAGCACGAGTTCCCCATTGTCACGCTCTTGAGCTACGTCCAGTGACATCCCACTCCACGTCCACCGCGAATCACCGTGATCAGCCTCACCGAATCGCAAGGGATGCTTCAGGTACGGCTGCGACACCCATCCTTCGGCGTCCAGCTGCCAATGCTCCCGCAGAAACAGCCCGACGTCGGCGCTTCCACGCTCCACTATGCTCCCACACCCCCTCCCACACCCCGCCCCACAGCCGACCTAAATACCAAGCAGTGGTCCACTCAGCATGTCGACTCACATTCACTTGCTACTCCCACCCCACCATCCACACTACACTTTCGGCTCAGCTGGCTATTCACCTCCGCCCGCAACCACAACTCCATCCTCTCAACTCGGCACACGCCGTACTCGGTGCTCTGGCTCAGCCATTCTGCATTGGCTGCGACGGGGCCCACGGAACTACAACAAACATGCACGACGAGATGCAGAGTGGGGATCAGGCGGCGTCGGTGGACGCCGCGGCGGGTGCGGTCGGAGCGTCCTTCTTTTCGCCGCCAGCCGCAGCCGCAGCAGGGGCGGGGGCGGGGGCAGCTGCGGGAGCGGGAGCGGGAGCGGGAGCAGTCTCCTTCTTATCCTTCTTCTCCTTGTCGCCGGCGCCGCTGGCCGCTGCAGGCGCCACGTCCTTGGTCTCCTTGGCCTCCTTGACCTCCTTGGGCTCCTTGGGCTCCTTGGGCTCCTTGG